CACTCTGCCACAATATCAATATATCATTCATTCTTATCTTGTATTGCAAGTTTGCACCAGATCACTTCCCCAACACCCCCCCCCCCTTCCCCCTCTAATTTTAAAATCATTCACCAGTTAGGGAACTATGTTTCCCCATGTAATTTAAGACCAGCTAAACAAACTTATCTAAAAGGTCTTTTTACAGTAAGGATAGTTACACTTGCCATTCCATACTAACCTATTAGAGAGCTGAGTTACAAACACCTGCCACCTTCTTAATGAGTTAAAATCTCTCACATCTTAGTCTATTGTTACCATTCTCCTGTCAACTAGGAGAAAAGTAATGTATTTTTTTTTTGCTTTTGTTTTATAGGAAAACAGCAGCTTCATCCAACCTCTTAACACAACACTCTAAATCTTGTATTTTGTTTTGATCTATTTCGGTATCTTTAAACGACTGTTGCAGCCATAATGCTTGCACGAAGCTTCCCTGGAAACACAAACCGTAACTGTCTCTATTTTCCGCTTGTTACAACTTGTAATAAAGTTGTTACATCTTGGCTTAACGTGTTTATGACGTATTAGAACGTTGTTACAACTTGCTATATTGGTTGTTATAACTGGTTAGGAGGTGTTAAAACTTGTTCCAACGTTGTATCAACGTCGTAGTTTCGGTGTGTGTTTGGCGGGTTGCAGGAATAAATGCTTGACGAAAATACATTCCGAAGGCTGAAAGTGTGTGTGATTGTAATTATGAAATTATTATTAATGCATTTTACACTGTTGCACAATATTGTCTCGTAGGTAAATATAGTTTTACTTTATTCATTATTCTCAAATCCCTCTCACTTCTTTTCATCTTTTCCACCTATTTTTCCCTCTAACATTTTCACTTAATTTACAGAAAAATCTATTTGCCATTTCCAGTTACCGCACGAAAAGTTTAATTAATCTTAATACCGTAAACATTTACCGGGATATATCTTAGATATGCATAATATTTGCCCAACCTTTGACCTGTTTCCCCAAACCCTTTCCTTAACCTGTCACTTAGTATATTAGATAGGAAGTTATATATACACTTAAATGTGTTGGTTATCTTCTTCTTATCTTGAGATGATTTCGGGGCTTTAGTGTCCCCGCGGCCCGGTCCTCGACCAGGCCTCCACCCCCAGGAAGCAGCCCGTGACAGCTGACTAACACCCAGGTACCTATTTTACTGCTAGGTAACAGGGGGCATAGGGTGAAAGAAACTCTGCCCATTGTTTCTCGCCGGCGTCTGGGATCGTTTGTAAATTTGTAAATTTCATAACTGCAAAATACTTGCCAAATTACAGAAATAGATTACGACTTAGAGCTGGAGCCCAAGAACTAAATTTTTTTGTCTTGGTCCCCAGTGTCTATGTTTATATTTTAATTTAAATCGGATGTATACATAGGAAAAATACAAAGGAGAATTATGACTTGAAACGAGAGGCGGAGGCCAGGAACTTGATCCCGTTCCTTGCCTCTGGCTAAAATACAAATATAAAACTGCATTTAAATCGGTTGTATACTTTCGAAATTGTAATGAGCGCCATGTAGAGGCGGGCCCATGAACTAACGTTCGACCTTGCTAGACTCAAGCTGGACTATTTTAGGCCTGAAGCAGGAATGTGGACTTTCCCTTAACCCTAAAAAGTGGCGAAGATAAATCCGGAATTTTGTTTTCAGGATATTAAACGCCTGAAAGTGTAAAGCTGTAAGCATTGGTGGTCCAGACTTTACATCCAAAACTGTTGCTTAAAACCAAAAATTTCAGATTTGGTTTCACACTCTCTGTTCTCAGATACTACCACAACTACCACCACCACAACTACCACCACCACAACTACCACCACCACAGCCACCACCACCACCACAACTACCACCACCACAGCAACCACCACCACAGCCACCACCACCACCACAACTACCACCACCACAACTACCACCACCACAACTACCACCACCACAACTACCACCACCACAGCCACCACCACCACCACAACTACCACCACCACAGCAACCACCACCACAGCCACCACCACCACCACAACTACCACCACCACAGCAACCACCACCACAGCCACCACCACCACCACAACTACCACCACCACAGCAACCACCACCACAACTACCACCACCACAGCAACCACCACCACAGCAACCACCACCACAGCCACCACCACCACCACAACTACCACCACTAACCACCACAGCCACCACAGCTACCACCACCACCACCACCACCAATCACCACCACAGCCACCACCACCACCACCACCACAGCCACCACCACCACCACAGCTACCACCACCACCACACCCACCAACAACCACAACTACCACCACTAACCACCACAGCCACCACCAACCTACCACTTCAGACTGGAAGAACCTGGTCTTCCTGGACACAAAAAATGCAGCTCTCGTTCGGACGCGGAGAACTGTCAGAAGGAGAAAAAATGGGAAGAAATATATGTTTGAGACGAGACTGACCAGACTATTTCCTGAGTGTTTTAATACACCACAACAGTTACGTCACGCCTCCCCAACTGTGTGTGTGTGTGTGTGTGTGTGTGTGTGGGTGGTGTGTGTGTGTGTGTGTGTGTGTGTGTGTGTGTGTGTGTGTGTGTGTGTGTGTGTGTGTGTGTGTGTGTGTGTGTGTGTGTGTGTGTGTGTGTGTGTGTGTGTACTCACCTAGTTGTACTCACCTAGTTGTGTTTGCGGGGGTTGAGCTCTGGCTCTTTGGTCCCGCCTCTCAACCGTCAACTGTGTGTGTGTGTGTGTGTGTGTGTGTGTGTGTGTGTGTGTGTGTGTGTGTGTGTGTGTGTGTGAGAGTGTAATTACCTAAGTGTAGTTACAGGATGAGAGCTACGCTCGTGGTGTCCCATCTTCCCAACACTCTTTGTCATATAACGCTTTGAAATTACTGACGGTCTTGGCCTCCACCACCTTCTCACGTAGTTTGTTCCAACCGTCTACCACTCTGTTTGCAAAAGAAAACTTTCTAATATTTTTCGGCACCTCTCTTTCCTTAGCTTGAATGTGTGTGTGTGTGTGTTCTTGCCTAGTTATGCTTGCTGGGATTGAGCTTTATCTCTTTGGTCCCGCCTCTCAACTGTCAATCAACTGGTGTACAGGTTCCTGAGCCTACTGGGCTCTTATCATATTTATATAAGAAACTGTGCATGGAGTCAGCCTCCACCACATCACTGCCTAATGCATTCCATTTGTTGACTACTCTGATATTGACAAACTACTTTCTATTGTCTCTGTGGCTCATTTAGGTGCTAAGTTTCCACCACCGTTCTCTTGATAGTGTTCCATCCATGCTAAATACTGTCTTTGTCCACCCTATCAATTCCTCAGAGAATTTTGTAGGTGGTGATCAAGTCTTCCCTTACTCTTCTGTTTTTCAGGGACGTGAGGTTTAGCGCCCGAAATCTTTCCTCGTAGTTCATACCTGTCAGTTTTGGGACTAGTCTGATGGCATGCCTCTGAATCTTCTCTTCGTCTTGCCTTTCACATCAGTATGGACTCCAGGCTGGAGCTGCATACTCCAGGATTGGTCTGACATAGGGTCCTGAACGATTCCTTACATAAGTTTCTAAAGGCAGTTCTTATGTTGGCAAACCTAGCATATGCCGCTGATGATATCCTTTTGATGTGAGCCTCTGGGGGGGGGGGAGACAGGTTCGGTGTGATATCAACCCCCAGATCTTTCTCTCTATTTGACTCTTGCAGGATTTCACCTCCCAGATGGTACCTTGTGTTCAGCCTCCTGCTCCCTTCGCCTAATTTCATTACTTTACACTTTCCTGAGTTGAACTTTAGTGCCCATTTTCCAAACCATTTCTCCAGTTTGTCCAGGTCATCCTGTAGTCTCTGTCTATCTTCATCTGTCTTGATTCTTCTCATGATTTTTGCATCATCAACAAACACTGGGAGGACACACCGTGTCTGTCTCCCACTCTGTCTCCCACTCTGTCTCCCACAGAGACAGTTACTCCCACTCCAGTTATTTGTTACGTGTTAATTGATCAATAAAAAACTTCCTTGGTATGCGGGCTTGGTGACGCAAGGTGTCAACCACACCTACAGTTTCACCACCGAGCCTGAGGACCTCTTGCCTCGTTCTCTCACATAATAACTGCCTGGCAACTACCCCGTCAGCCACTTCGGCAGCTACCGAAGGTGAAAGGTTAAAGAGAGTCCTCGCCGTAAGATTCTAAATAGATTTTTATCGAGTGTGTCAGTGTTCATTGAGAGTCATCCGGCCCGCCTGGGCACCGGCGATAACACTGAATACCTTATAGTGTACTGGACTATTAAGCCGCGTTCTTTCCTTTGTTCAGCTTGGCCATACGCACCGGAGCAATACGGGACGGTGGTGTTTGGGAGTCCCGTCCAACTGGGGGCTTGGGCAGATGGTGAATATAGATCTGTCGTTTGGACGACAATGGGTGTTGTCGTACCTGTTTCGGTTTTGCGATGGGTCGTACCCCTGGTGGTGGTGGTGGTGGTACGACTAGTGTGTGTGTGGGAGGTGTACTCATCTAGTTGTGTTTGCGGGGGTTGAGCTCTGGCTCTTTGGTCCCGCCTCTCAACCGTCAATCAACAGGTGTACAGGTTCCTGAGTCTATTGGGATCTATCATATCTACACTTGAAACTGTGTATGGAGTCAGCCTCCACCACATCACTGCCTAATGCATTCCATTTGTCAACCACTCTGACACTAAAAAAGTTCTTTCTAATATCTCTGTGGTATCTACACCCGGGCAATATCTAATATTGTCCAGGTGTGGTGGTGGTGCTGGTACCTAGTGGGTGACAATGGTTCCTCTGAGGGTGTGTGTGGGTATGGGAGTTCCATGGAGCAGTGTGTGGTGATGGGGGCTGTATGGGGTAATGGGGGGAGGGGTAGTTTGTTCAGGAACGAGGGGGGACCGTCGTAGGTTGCATGGTAATTGGAGTTGTTCGCTCGTTGTTTTCTGATGTTGATCCTTGGTAATCTATATGACGGGGTTCCTGGTAAGCTGTGTGCTGGTGGTTCCAGTCCCACGCCCACTCGACCCACGCCCACTTCTCCCACGCCCACTCGTCCCACGCCCACTCCTCCCACGCCCACTCCTCCCACGCCCACTCCTCCCACGCCCACTCGTCCCACGCCCACTCCTCCCACGCCCACTCGTCCCACGCCCACTCCTCCCACGCCCACTCCTCCCACGCCCACTAGACCCACGGCCACTCCGCCCACGCCCAGCGAGAGGTGAGAGCAGGTACTTAGGAACATCACCGGTAAAAACTGGCTCTCAGCCTCGCTTAAAACGCTTTCCCACATGTATGCACCATGGTTTTCAGCGAACCCTCTCCGCCTCCCTTGTTAAGCTTAGACTTTTGTGGTATTGTGTTTAAGCGTTTGAGCCACAGGAGTATTCATCCCACCACAAGAGCTTATACTGACCAACCAGTAAGACTTCTTCAGTCTTGAATATTGTCCAGGACTAAAGTAAGGTCTTCGTGTATGTATACAGATGTGGGGTACACCTCCTGGCGCCAGATTCACGAAGCAGTTACGCAAGTACTTACGAACGTGTACATCTTTCCTCAATCTTTTGACGGCTTTGGTTACATTTATTAAATAGTTTACAGGCTTGAAAACTTGCCAATCAACTGTTGTTATTGTTATAAACAGCCTCCTGGTGCTTCGGAGCTTATTAACTGTTTAATAATTGTAAACAAAGCCGCTAAAGATTGAGAAAAGATGTACAGGTTCGTAAGTACTTGCGTAACTGTTTCGTGAATCTGGCCCCTGGTGTTGATGTCTCTATTGATGATTCATTGACATTAATGTACTTCTTTATAAGACGCTGTGTCGCACATCAGTAATCTCCATCACTTAGGAACTAAAAACACTACAACAATATTTGGCAGAAACAAGTGTTCTCTGACCCATCCCCTACAAGTGTTAGTTAACACTTGTATCTTGCATATACAAATTCGCCTGAATTTCGCAAAGTGAAACATGCATATTTGTCTAATGTGGCAGATTGTAACCTCAGAAAATGTGTCTTTGAATGTACAATTTAAACCTATTGTCCTGTTTATGATCTTCCTTTGTCTTGTACAAGCATCTTCCTCACTCTAAGATCAAATTTGTTTTATAATAGCATTCTTAAGAATATAGTCAACCAGAAAGCAAATGTTATTTTACAAAGACAGCATCGAGCACTGGCTAACCATTCACAAAGCCTCTGATATTGTTTGTGTTCAATCAAGCAACCAATTACAGGTTCGTTGTGGATTGGGAGTCTTTTGTGGAAGGGGAGGCTTTGGAAATTGTGCGTCCGGTTATCCTCTACCTTTCTCATCTCCTCTCAACCCCACCCCTTCCCATATCCTCCTACCCATCTTTGAACACCTTCCCCCTTCCTTCCCCCTTCACCGTCCGAGGAACAAACGACCAACTCCACTGAACAACGTGAACATAGAGCCCGCTTGCATCTCGCTGCCTTTGTTCTCTCTCTCGATGAAAAATACTTTTGGGTTTGAATAGTGATTCATCATTCAATAAGCGGAGCTTTTCGGGGTCCGCTTGAGGAAGGTATGATGGTGGAAATACTGTTTTTTTGCGGCTCTGTTTAACGCCTGGGAAGAGCTGCGGCTCTGTCTGACGCCTGGTAAGAGGAGCTGCGGCTCTGTCTGACGCCTGGTAAGAGGAGCTGCGGCTCTGTCTGACGCCTGGTAAGAGGAGCTGCGGCTCTGTCTGACGCCTGGTAAGAGGAGCTGCGGCTCTGTCTGACGCCTGGTAAGAGGAGCTGCGGCTCTGTCTGACGCCTGGTAAGAGGAGCTGCGGCTCTGTCTGACTCCTGGTAAGAGGAGCTGCGGCTCTGTCTGACTCCTGGTAAGAGGAGCTGCGGCTCTGTCTGACGCCTGGTAAGAGGAGCTGCGGCTCTGTCTGACGCCTGGTAAGAGGAGCTGTGGCTCTGTCTGACGCCTGGTAAGAGGAGCTGCGGCTCTGTCTGACGCCTGGTAAGAGGAGCTGCGGCTCTATCTGACGCCTGGTAAGAGGAGCTGCGGCTCTGTCTGACGCCTGGTAAGAGGAGCTGTGGCTCTATCTGCCGCCTGGGAAGAGCTGCGGCTCTGTCTGCCGCCTGGTAAGAGGAGCTGTGGCTCTGTCTGCCGCCTGGGAAGAGCTGCGGCTCTGTCTGCCGCCTGGGAAGAGCTGCGGCTCTGTCTGCCACCTAGTAAGAGCCGCGGTTCTCTGTATCATAGAGCTTCTCTGCTCCAACTATTCATTTTCATCAATTACGCCTCTGCACTGAGAGTAGAAACATGAACCGTTCATTTCTCCAGTGCCTGAGGTGACATCTAGTGACACTTAACAAAAATTATCAACAAATTTCATGTACAGTAATCGTGGAGGACATTGTCTTTACGAGAAGGTTACTTTAGGATGTGTATCAGGAGGAGCAGGCTGCTCACGCTTGACGTGCAGGCTGCTCACGCTTGACGTGCAGGCTGCTCACGCTTGACGTGCAGGCTGCTCACGCTTGACGTGCAAGCTGCTCACGCTTGACGTGCAGGCTGCTCATGTTTGACGTGCTCAGTCTTGAAGTGTAGGCCCTTGCTACTGCTAGGAGTGTGTTGGTGCTCAGCCTCTCCCACCACTCTCTTACAACACGGGTGACGGGGCGCTAGCCGGTGTTGTAAGCAAGCAAGCAAGCAAGAGGGAGGCTCCTTGCTTCAGGCAAGAGGCCCGTCACCAGCTGTCAGGAATCATCATATTTGACAAAATCGAGGCATCTTGTTCTCTGTTCTCATAATCACACTAATGGTGTTCATTTTCCTCATTTGGGCATGTGTCCTGTAGTACTGTTAAAAAATACTGAGTTTTGGGAGCGGCTGTTCCCTTTGGGGTTCTGAGCGACTGTTCCGTCTGGGGTTCTGAGTGGCTGTTCCGTCTGGGGTTCTGAGTGGCTGTTCCGTCTGGGGTTCTGAGTGGCTGTTCCGTCTGTGGTTCTGAGCGGCTGTTCCGTCTGTGGTTCTGACCGGCTGTTCCGTCTGTGGTTCTGAGCGGCTGTTCCGTCTGTGGTTCTGAGCGGCTGTTCCGTCTGTGGTTCTGAGCGGCTGTTCCGTCTGTGGTTCTGAGCGACTGTTCCGTCTGTGGTTCTGAGCGACTGTTCCGTCTGTGGTTCTGAGCAGGTGTTTCGTCAGGGGATCTGAGCAGGTGTTCCGTCTGGGGTTCAGAGGCTGCGAGACGGTCCGGACGTGTAGATGTGTAACCTAACAAAGGCAGTGTGTCAGCTGCCTGTCGCTATATACGAAAGCTAAACCCACATCTTATATACGAAAAGCACTTCACACAGGACTTTCAGAGCCTGTCCTCTCAAGCAAGGATCGTTAAAGCGGCGGCCTTGGATACATCAGTTTTAACATACTGTGTATTAAAAAAAAGGTTTCTTTTGAGTTAATATTACATTTTAACGTTTTATGTGTAGTTAGGCTTAGGTTTGGTTAGGTACTTTAACCCTGTCGTAGCTCAGTCGATTAATGCAGTGTCTGGGATGCTTCCGGACGCAGGTTCGAATCCTCGTCACGGCCCTTGTGGATTTGTTCGTTTGGTTAGGTGTTTGTGTTCTGTTGATTATTTTATGTACGTGAGTGAAACATGTACATCGCTGTGGTCTGAACAGAGGTCGTCAGTGAAGCACCTGACGAATAAATGTCCGGACGTCATCAGTTTACAGTCGTGTGAAAACCTTTTGTGCATTCATAAACAGGAGGTTTAGCATTTGGACCTGTTTAGGAGCTAAAGGAGCAAACAGGAGCCATGCTAAACAGGAGCAAACCTCCTGTTTAGCATGCTCCTGTTTGAGCATTTGGCCTTTGTTGATGAGGACGAGTGAGACTCATTTATCTGATGACATTCGAGCTTTTATCGACGTTTCAATCGCATCCTCTGTTCGAATCACACCTTTCTGAATGCAGCTCGTCCTCGTCAACATAGACCAAATGCTCATTAATCCAGCTGTTAAACCATCAATCATAAACCTGTTTATGGATGAAAAACTGTATACACACGACTCCAAACTTCTGACGTCCGGACAGTTTATCGTCAAGTGCTTCGCTGACGACCTGTGTTCAGGTCACAATGACCTGAATGCTTCATTCACGTGTTTCTGATACAATTAAAAAGTCAATGTTTCCTGCTTCTGTGAGTGGTGATTTATTCTGGTGGAATTTGTACACCAGGTTCCAGCAAAGGGAGGGAGGGAGTGTGTGCGTGCGTGGGGGGATGTGTGTGTGTGTGTGTCTGTGCGTGTGTGTGTGTGTGTGTGTGTGTGTGTGTGTGTGTGTGTGTGTGTGTGTGTGTGTGTGTGTGTGTGTGTGTGTGTGTGTGTGTGTGTGTGTGTGTGTGTGTGTGTTCTCATCTAATTGTGCTTGCGGGGGTTGAGCTTTGGCTCTTTGGTCCCGCCTCTCAACTGTCAATCAACTGGTGTACAGATTTCTGAGCCTACTGGGCTCTATCATATGTACATTTGAAACTGTGTATGGAGTCAGCCTCCACCTTAAAGTACTCCTTTATTACTCCTTTGTGTGTGTATGTGTGTGTGTGTGTGCGCGCGTGCGTGCGTGCGTGTGTGTGCACGCGTGCGTGCGTGCGTGTATGTGCAAGTTTATACCTTAGAACTTCATCTGAACTTTTCAAGATGACGCAGCACAAAAGAACACACCGTGTCTGATCATCCAGCAAAATACATCCATATATTACTATGAAACAAACGAATTACTGTCAAAAAGTATTTAACCTTTAACTTAAGACTGAATAAAACTCTAAAAATCATCATGCATATGGTTTCGAGTCCTCCTTCAGGGATGCCAAGATTGCCAACACCCTCATCTTGTTCGTAACTCCTAAAGCGATTACAATCAGATACGACGAAAATAATGCTGCAATCACGACCCGCAGAGTGTAACAAAGGTGTTATAATTTAGGTTCTTTGTGGTGGGTCACAGCCTGGAAGACTTTGGCCAACTGGTGGGTGTCCAGCGTGACTCTCACGCCCGTAATATGACGGAGTTGTGTGTGTATGTGTAGTCACGTAACTGTGCTGGCTGGAGGAGCTTGAGCTTCAGCTCTTTGGACCCGTCTCTCAGCCGTTCATCTACTGTCATAATGGTTCCTGAGCCTACTGGGTGCTCTTATCATAAGTTCGTTTGAATGTGTGTTTGGGGGTCTGCCTCCACCACCTGTACGGCCGTAAT